AGATACTTCATTGGCAAGGAACGAAGAAAAATTGTTTTCTCTGCTCCTAAAGATGAACCCTTCCTGACATCAGCATTTTAGTATGCAAATACCTCATTCTTCCTTGAAATGTAAATGTAGCCCAGGGTGAAAGTGTTCAGGTCTTTCTAGCACCTTGGGGCTTACCCTTTGGATGTAGTTCAGGGATATAACCATTGGCCTTCTCCAAGAGATATGGGAAGTTTTACTTTCCTTTGGGATCCGAGCAATTGACTCGACAAATGGGATGTGAGATGTTCTTGTGGGTTAATAAGGCTTTTTTTTCTTTTTACAGGAACACAGAAATCCAGGGAAATGTTATTTCCACACATTCCCCAAATTCATCTATAAACTCAGTGCAGTCCATATCAAAATCCTAGCAGGCTTCTTTGTTAAAAATTGACAAGCTGATCCTAAAATTTATATGGAAATACAAAACAGGTCTTAAAAAGGAGATCAAAATTGGAGAATTTACCCTTTGAGGATTTCATAACTCACTATAAAGCTATGATAATCAGGCCAAGGTCCAAGTAGTATAAGGATAAACACACACACACACATCCTGTTCCATTGGTGCAGATAAATATTATATATATTATAAAAGTTCTAGAAATAAACCCTCTCACGTATGGTAAACTAATTTTTGACAAAGATGCCAAGGCAATTCAGTAGGGAAGTAGAAACAGTTGTGCTGGGGCAGTTATATATTTCCACACACAAAAAATGAACTTGGAACTTTACCTCATACCACACGCAAAAATTAACTCAAAATGGATCATAGTACAAAATATAAGAGCTAATACTATAAACTGCTGGGAAAAAACATAGGGGTAATTCTTTGTGACCCCGGCAAAGATTTATGGCATCAAAAGTATAATACATAGAATGAAAAATTTATAAATTGAACTTTATAAAACTTAAAAAAAAACTTTGCTCTTTAAAAGATATCATTAAGAGAAAGAAAAACAAATTTGTAACTGAGGGAAATGTTTATAAATCATTTATCTGGTAAAGGACTTGAATCCAGAATATATAATAATCTTTTGCAACTCAATAAGAAAATAAACTGCTGAGTTTAAGACAGGCCAGTGATTGAGTAGACATTTCATTAATGAAGATTCATGAATGGCTAATAAGCACGTGGAAAGATGCTCAACGTCATTGTCATTAGGGAAATGCAAACTAAAAATCACATGTCCTAGAATGGCTCTAAGCAAAATGACAGACCATTCCCGGTGTTGGTAAGGATGTAGAGAAGCTGGACTGCTATTGGGAATATAAAATACACTCGTTTTGGAAACATTTCAGTGGTTTTTTAAAAAGTTAAACATATATGTGGTAGGCAGTTTATGACATAGAGTCTCATTGGTCCCCTCCTGCTGGTATTCATACTTGTGTATTCCTCTCTCTGCAGTATGGGCCAGTTGCATAGGGAAAAGGTGAGGGGAGGTCCCTTCTGTAATTAGGTTACAAGGGATTGTGACCCCCAGCTTTCTTGTAGACTCTCCCTACTTCCTTATTGGCTTGCAAGTAGTTTTGAAGCAAGCTGCAAGGGGCTGGGCATGGCAGTGCAAAGCCACAGAAGGAACTGAATGTTACTCGAAACCATCAAGTGAGTTTGGAAGTGAATCTTCTAGTTGAACCTTCCGATGAGATCATAGAGCTATATACAGATGTAATGAGATAAAGATCTTGATTACAATCTTGAGAGAAACCGGGATGCAGAAGTCCTGGCTAAGTTGTGCCAAGATTCCTGACCCATGAAAGCTGTGTGATGATAACTGTGTGTCGTTTGTATAGTATAGCCACTCGACGTAATATTGCTCACAATGAAAGTAATGAACTACTGATACATGCAGCAGTGCTAAGTGAAGCCAGGCACAAAACATTCATAGTGTATGATTCCACTGCTAAGAAACTTCTAGAAAAGGCAAACGTATAAAGAAAAAGCAAATCAGTGGTTTCTTGGGTCTGCCAGTAGGAGTTAGGATTGACTGAGAATGCATGCCAGGGGATTTGGAGGAATGACTGTAGTCTTCTAAAACTGGACTTGTGGTTGCCTCAACATGGACGTTTACTAAAAATTTTCAAGCTACTGTTACTGTATGAGAATTGTATGTAAATCATATGTGAATAGAGCCATAAAAAATGTATGTGTCTCAGGAAATACAATTTTAATCTCCGTTGTACTGTTCAGTGTGCTCTAATATTTACAGATTAAATTAAAAATTTAATGTTTATTTTTGAGAGAGAGACAGAGAGAGACAGAGCACAAGCAGGGGAGGGGCAGAGAGAAAGGAAGACACAGGCTCCAGGCTCTGAGCTGTCAACACAGAGCCTGACATGGGGCTTGAACTCAGGAGCCATGAGATCAGGACCTGAGCCGAAGTCGGACGCTTAACTGACTGAGCCACCCAGATGCCCCAACAGATTAAATTTTAATTTCGCCCAATGTTATGTCCTTCTCATGCAGCTTAAGCTGTCTCTCTCCCCCTGTGCACAGCTTCCCTTCATGCTCCACGTCTGTTCCTAAGGCCTCCTCCTGCACTCCTGACCCTGGTACTTCCTTTTGGCATTTTGAGCAACGACATGTGATCATCAGGGTCCATCTAGACTTCTTGGTGTTACAGATGCCTCTTTTCACTTTTCTAGTTTTGTTTTCTTCTTTTCCATAACTGCATTTTCCACAAATGATGAGCACATTCTAATACTTCATAAACCAGCCCTTCACTCGTATCCATGGCTTCTAAGATAAAAATGCAATCACTTCTGGAATCTGCATTAATACCGGGAAAGAGATTATGGATTTATGTTTTTCCTGTGAGATGCATTTGTGTCTCTAACAGTTCACTTTTAAATGTGAAAAACGAGCCAAGATTTGTTTCCACCGTTTTCCTTTCTTTTGGGACCACCATGGAGTTATCTGAGAACTGAATGGAGAGTTTGTTTTTCCTGGGTTTTCTTCCATGCCAGTAAACTCTCAGAAGGCCTTGCAAGTAAACATGAATCCCCTCAACTAATATTCAAAATTGTCTCAACTCTGTTAGGCTTTATTCCAATATGTACATTTTGTCTTTTTTTTTTCTCTTCCTTTAAAAATTTCCTTCTTAGATTTTTAACCCCATGAGCACTTAGAATTTTTTATTTTTTATTTTTTTAAATGTTTTATTTTATTTTATTTTTGAAACAGAGAGAGACAGAGCATGGGAAGGGGAGTGTCAGAGAGACAAGGAGATACAGAATCTGAAGCAGGCTCTAGGCTCTGAGCTAGCTGTCAGCAGAGAGCTCGACACAGGGCTCAAACCCACGAACTGCAAGATCATGACTTGAGCCAAAGTTGGACACTTAACTGACTGAGCCACCCAGGTGCCCCTAGAATTTTTAAAGCACAGTAAATGGCTGGTATGAAAGTCCCCCCTCCCCCACATTACTTTGAAAGCTTCCTTGCAGATGCTATTGTTTGAACACTCCTATGAGCAGGATATTTGTAACATCCCTGGATAAAGCCTCCCAAGGAGGCCAGGGCAGTAAAGGCCCTGTTAATGTGCCCAGCCTGTGGCACATCGGAATGAGTATGCTGCACTAGTATCTGGGCTGAGGATCTGCTCTCGCCCCCATTCCATTCCTGGCTTGTCACGTCACCCTAAGGAAGTTACAATTTCTGTGAGCTCTGTTTTCTCGTCTACAAATTGGTAATGGACCATGATGCCCTGATCTTCTTGCAAGGTTGTCTCAAGGGTTGAATGAGATAAAATGTAATGAAGGAATTCTGTAAGCCATTTAAGAGAGTCTATTTAAGTATTCATATCAAGCATTTTTAAGCAGAATGTAATAAAATATTAGCCTAGAGGAGTCTTGTTTTTAAAATTTATCCTAGGGGCACCTGGGTGGCTTAATTGGTTGAGCATCTGACCTTGGCTCAGGTCATGATCTCACGGTCTGTGAGTTCGAGCCCTGCGTGAGGCTCTCTGCTGTCAGTGCAGAACCTGCTTCAGATCCTCTGTGTCCCCTTCTCTCTCTGCCCCCAGTCCCCTTGCCTCTGCTCTCTCTCTCAAAAATTAAAAAGAAAAAAAACATTTTAGAAGTGTATCCTATCTGGTTTCAATAAAGCCAAGACTGTTTCAGAATTGATAACCCAATGAGTGACTATATAACACAGATGGGCTATCTAAATCTGGAAACAAGATACGCGTTGAGAGAAGGTGGATGCTTTGTTTAGAGTAAACAAAATGGGATCTGGTTTCAGTTTCCTTCCACACCTTGTGGGTTACTTCAATCTCAGTCATTCTAGGCTATGTCTGATTCTGCTTAAACTTCATTTCATTAGTTCTAGAGAATATTGAAATGCTGACAATGCAAAAAGTTATTTAGGCCCTCTTGCAAACTGTTTCCAGTTACTCAATATTTGCCTTCACATTTCTGCAGACTAGATATCTAGAGAGGAAGAGAGCGTTGAGATACTTTACCCTTCTTCCTGGTTCCCAGAGGAGCTCCACATTTTTCTGCTCTGAGGGACTTAACACCTAATTACACATCTGGGCAGTGGCTAGGCCAGGGGAACCCTGAGAACTCTTCACACCTCCTCCCCGCCCCCCCACACCACATATGGCCAGAATTTCTTTCAAGAGGCCTAGGAAAAAATTTTTCTGCTTTTTTTTACAAGTTATAATAGTTAAATGACTTACCAAGGAAAGCTTTTTATATTTATGATCATGGTTGAGGAATCTCCTAGAGGTCTGACCATGGAACACAGAAGCAAAAAGCGGTGCATTTGGAATATTTAAGTGAGCAGAGACACAGAAGCAGAGAGCCTGGAGTCAAAGGGAGGGTGGTGGAAAAGATTTTCTTTCTTGCCTTTAAAATCCCATAACCAATATCAAATATTGAAAAAAAGCAGCCCTTTCATAAATTCAAATGCTATTCTGAAGCAAAATTGTTTTCAGTGTCTACAAGAGCATAAATCTCTGTTTCTCTTCCTCCAGGCCCGGCCCGTGGATTATCCTAGGGACTACCTTTCTCACCAGGTTCCCATATCTTTTCATAAACACTGGAACATTGATCCGGTAAAGGTATATTTCACGTGGCTGGCACCCAGTGAGGAAGACAAAGCCAGACAGGAGACACAGAGAGGCTTTAAGGAAGAGTTATAACGTGTGCCAGCCTGTTGCACATTGGGTAATGAGAAGGAGTGGAGGCGGGCATAGTCCTGCGAGCTGGGATCACACTGCTTCCACGTGCCACATGGCCTTGGGAGCCTCTGACTTTAGGTGGAAATGATGTTATGGTATTTTTGGAGGGGGGGAAGAAACAGAGTTACAGGGGAAATGGATTTTTTTTTTCTGGGAAAAATCTCTTGCTTTTGCATTATGTGGTTATTGTAATATACAGTGATGACTGTGTATTTTTCAAGCTGTGATACAGCAGCTTTATTACTGTCACAGAAAAATAAATGGTACCAGAAGTCTCCTTCCCATTTTCTCTCTTCATTATAAAGTGTCAGATGAGCATGAGGCTGGCAAGAGATGACTGTGTTTATATATATATACTATATACATATATATATTCTATATATACTATATATATATACACACTCTATATAGAAGAGGCAACATCTGTTGATGTGGGTATTACCATGATGTGAACTTTATAATCATATTATTAATGATGAAAATTATTCTGTATTAAATATCATTCACCAAACATCATAAAAGTCAAGATATGAAGTCCCTCATAGTCTGTAATCAGGGTTGTTATGTTTTATCTATTTTTCTGTTTGTGCCTCATAAAAATAATGAGGAGTCTTCTACTAGAGCTTTCTGTTTCTTTCTTTAGAGGTTTATCTCTGTTCTATTTCTCCCTGAAGCCCTATCTTTATGACCTACTTGTAACACAAAAGTATACTGGATACTGCCAGAAAATAGTGTACTCAATATTTAAAAACAATGTTGTCGGGCTTTATTCAAGTCCGTGAGCTCTGTGTAAGTCTCAGGAAGTGAATTAAATTAATTTGTACCTGATGTTTTACTCTTATTTTTCTTTGAATGTTACTTAATGACTCTCTCCTGGCTCATAACAGACCCCTCAGTGTACCGTGAAACCCTGGTGGAAAGGCAGCATGGCGATTTAGTAATTTCCCTAGGTTCTTACAGAATGAGATTTGAACATAGTATTTTGAAACAGCTCTAGTTTTCAAATCATATCTTTAATATCTATTAATTTAACACATTCATTATTAATTTATAAAAAGTACTCTGTGTGTTAACATTTTAATTATATAATTCATGTTTTCTAAGGGTGTTTGCATAAAATTTCATTTTGATATGTCTGAAGCTAATTTCAGTCTAGTAAAATACTTTCCTCTTTTTTTTAAAAAATAAAAATTGCTGTTCATTAACTTTGCTTGTAAGGCTTTTTATAGCCAAGCACAGGGTTTTAAAAGCCATACCACCAAAAGTACCCATGTGTGTTTTTTAACAATACATTTCCTTGTAGCTTAGCTTGGACTCATTTCCAAAATGATGCAATAGTATTTTTTTACTGTTTTCCAAATTAGCAACTACCAGAACTGGTATGTTTTCAGTGGTAACTGAATGCACTAGATTCATTTTTGTGAAAGTGGATGTGGTGGCCTGTCCAAGGACTGGATCAGGTATGAGCAGCTGGATAAAAGCACCCTAAGGGTCTATAGATCCTGTCAAACTGGTGGTGGCGACATCAGAGTCGTTGTCAGAGCTGGGATTACGGTCCTTGCTATCATCACAGTCACCTTCGTGTTATCTGTGATCAATACCCTTGGGGAGCCTGGCTGCCTGACCCAGTGGGGAAGAGGCTTTGGTTCTTCCTCCTCCTGCCTCCCAATTGTTATACTTTCAATATGGTGTATTCATTTAACAGGACCAGACAGGCATCTCTAAGTGAAGATCCACAAGTTTTCAGTGCCTTCTACTGATACCAGAGTACCTCCTCTGGTACTTACTGGTGTTTTGTTGATTATGTTTACTTTTTGGAACTATGTAAACCTAACCACAAATAAAAGATGTTTGCCTAAGTTACTCATTTCTCCAATGTCATTAGTCCACCCTAAAGTGGGAGGGGCAAGGGGAAAAAGAATTAACAAAGCCTGGGGAAAACATTGGTGGCTCAGAAAACACAGTTCTCAGAAAAATTAATAGAAACTATCCTTTTAAGAGAAAGCCATCAGACATTGAAGATATATTTATACCGTGTCTATGAAACCATCTTCTATCTTAATATATAACAAATGGGGATGTTACTTTTGGGACAGATTCCCATACAGTTCTTCTCTTAAGAAATACATTTCACATCTGAACTTCCCAGGACAGATACTGTCCTGTTCACATTTCCTCTGCCTGTTTCATAGGAATTCACTTCCAGATGGTTATTTTTGTCCTAGGGATGTCAACATCAAGGGATAACTGGAATGCTATTTTTGCTTTTAAGTCACTTCTGATAGAACTAAAGCAAGTTGTCTATGTAGAGTTTTTATATCTTGCAGCTAAATCAGAAATTCAGATACAAAGACAGCCTTTATGGAATGTTTGGGAACACAGAGCCACAGCACAAAGTGATGACATGCTCAAGTATATAAAGTGTCAGTTATCTCTCAATTTCCTGTCTACTGAATACCTTTAGTTATCCACATCCATATCCATTAGAATTGTTTATGGACTTTTCCTCAGAAATTGATAACACAAGAATGCTAGAAGAATCTTAAGAATGTTTCTATTGTCTTTCATTCATCAGCTGTAATTTCTGTGGACTAAAATGAATCAATCGATCCATTCTGCAGGTGTTTATTAAACACCTACTATGTGCCAGATGTTGCAGGGTGCCCCTTATCTGTCCTACTGATCACTCTATCCCTGGCATCTTTGAATACTTGGCACATAGTATGTGCTGTTGTTTTATGTTCCCAAGCATTACGTAAACTTGTCACCTGCAAAATGTGTTTTCCTCCTATCTGTGGAAAGTGAAGGCTTTGCATCTCATATCTTTTAGCACATGCCTTTCCCCTAAAAGGCACTTATATTCCTGTGGGAGAAGGGGTAGGTGCAAGGGAATCAACCTAAAGCAGTAAACAAATGAAAGAACCAGAGGATTTCTAATAATGATAAATGTTTAAAGACACTAAGAACAGGATACCGCGATAGAATGAGGGACTACTTTGGATGGCAGTGATCAGAAAGGGCCTGATGAGAAGGCAATGTTTAAGCAAAGATCCAAATGACTAGAAAGGGTCAGGAATGAAAGGGGTATTCATAGGGTGTTCTAGACAGAGGGAACAGCAAATTGTGAAGGCTCTAAGGCGGGAGCAAGTTTGTCATGTCTACAAAAAGAAAGCAAGCCTGTGTGACTGTTGCTTGGCTACCATCATTATTATTAGACATCCAGATGATGTCAAATAAATAGTTGATATTAGGGAGTCTGGAGCTTAACAGAGGAGTCAGGACGAGATTCTGGTGCTCATCAGCATGTGAAAAGTTTTGAAAAACACAAGATTCCACAGGATCATCTAGGGAGAAAATGTAGGAAGAGAAGGGAACCCAGTCAGCCTGAGCAGGACAGTCAATGAGGAAAAAGGGACACCAGTGATGTGTAATGGAAGCCAAGTAAAGAGCATTTCAAGAAGCAAGTAGTCAGGTGTGTCACATCCAAGAGGTCCATTAAGAAAGGATGGAGAAGTGACTGTGTGATTCAACAGCATAGACATTACCTTGATAAGACCACTCCCAGTGAATGTTGCAGCCTGAGGGAAGATGCAGAGATTGCAGAGAGCAATTATAAACAAATTTTTTGACCTACAGTTAATTCTTTTTATGAGTTAAAGACAAGGGGAAGTAGCTTACGGTGAGGAGGGGCATGGAGACTAGGGAGTTTGCATTTTAAGATGGAGGATTCTAGGGAATGTCTGCATGTGAGGAGAACGATCACACAGACAGTGAGATTAGTGAGATGACTGCATGGTGGTTCTGGGGAAACAGGATGGAGCCCAGAGTTCAATGGGAGGATCTAATTTGATAGAAGGATCCACTGTCAAATGGGAGCAAAGTGTAGGCACAGGGAAAGATTTTTAGATTTGCTGACATGAAATGTGAGGGCTTGAATATGGTCACTTCCATTAACTGGGAGACAGTCACCTGCTGAGTGTTTGACTTTTTGCACATGTTTGTTCTCTCGGACAACTGCAGTGTGAACCACAGCAACGGTGCCAACCACCTACATGGAGCTTAGTCTGCTTGGCACTCTTCTAAGTGTTCACACATCAACTTAATCCTTACAATAACTCTTCGAAGTGAGTTCTACTGTTTTCCCCAGCTTACACTTGGGGTAACAGAGGCACAGAGAGATTAAGTAACCAACTCAACATCACACAGCTAATAAGTGGTGCAGCTGGGCTTTGAGCCCAGACATTTTGGTTCCAGAGTCTATTCATTGAATATCTGTGCTCTTTCACCTCACCCAAGAAGACCACATAACACCAGCACAGACAAAGATGACCAAGAATCCAAGAGTTAATCATAAGTAACCCTATATCAGAGAGATCAAAGGCAAATATGATTACGCATCAGATAAATTATACAAACAATCTATGCTGGGAGGTTAAAAAATGAAGAAGCTGGCTATTTGAGATTGAATTTTAAATTCTTGTACTAGCATTTGGACAACAATACATCTGGTAGGGGTGAAGGTACTCATGTGCCATAACTCAGTAGTATTACTCTCAGGCATATACCCTGGTAAACCTCTTACGCCCAGGTGCCAAGAAGCATGTACAACAATGTTCATAGCAGCATACACACTTCAGGAGAGCCAAAAGCAGGAACCAGTCTACATATCTATTGCTTAAAGAATTAATAAGTGTAGGATATCTTTATAATATCACATTATGCAGCAGTCAGTATGAATGGACTACAGCTGCATGAGACATCTTAATGTTAAGCAAATAAAAAAAGTCATAGAACAAAACTTATAGTAGGATTTCCTTTGTATCACTTAAAACCATGCAAAATAAAAAAGTAAACACAGGGATACATGCATATCTAAAAAAGAAGAATAAGGGAACGACAAACACAGAATTCAAGATAGTAGTTACCTCTGGAGGGGTGGGACGGGGAAGCCAGGGAATTATGCTGTCAGATGCATGGGGGGACTCAAAGGTAATGTTAATTTTGATTTCTTGAACAGGTTGGTGGGTACATGAGTATTTAATTCATAAGTAGTCTTTATGCCTGAGGTATTATAATACAATACATACCTTATCAATACTCCCCATTTGACATTTAATTTTGATGTAATTAATGCTAAGCTCGATTTAATTAAAAAACCCCAAAATGTCTTGTTGAGCACCTAATGTGTGAGTATTAATTTCCTGTGGCTGCTGCAACAATTTATCACAAAATGGGTGCCTTAATGAAAGCAAAAATTATCCTATCCTGCCTGTGGAGTTTTGGGAGTCCAGCAGCCTTCTTTCATTTTGTCCTGTTTCAGTCTCTTTGGGTCAAACAGGTGTCATTTCTGCTTGTGTGACCTAAAAACTCCGTGAGTCTCCTGTGTGGATCAAGGGGACTCATGCTATTGGACAAGGTGCTCCTCCAAAGATCCTTCCTGATGGTCTCATCTATACCTCTGATTTCTGCTCCAATGGTTGAGGGGATCCACGAATCATACACTTAATGTCTTCAAGGGACCCTTTGTGCAAGAGAATACTCCATCCTTTCTATCCTTCCATGGCACTAGCCAAAGACTATTCTGGCTGCAGCCTTGGTTTTTTTGTTTTTTTGTTTTTTCATGGCTTTCTTTCCTCAGAGTCAGTCTCCTAATTTGGGCATCCTTTACAGTTTGGACTGGATAAAAATCTCCCGAATGCATCAAGTCCAGTTTCCTTTTTGCTTAGCAGTTTTTCCCTCAGTTTCTCTCTCTCCTCTCACTTGTTATTGCAAGTTACAAGAAGAAACCAGGTTGCGCATTCAATACTTTTCTTGGAAATGTCAGCACAATATCCAAATTCACCGCTTACTAAGTTCTGCTTTCTATGTAACTAAACTGTAGGACATAATTCAGCCAGACTTTCCTCCATTGCAGACCAAGAATCTTTCCTTCAGTTTCCAAAAATATTTTCTTCATTTCCTTCTGAGCCCTCAGCAGCAGGGCCTTTAAAGCTCAAGTTTCTGCCAACATTATGTTTGTAATAATGTATGTCTTCTCTAACATGACATAGGCATTCTCTCCCATGCTCCTTACTTTCCCCCACGTTCTCACCAGCAGCACCTTTAACGTCCATTTCTACCAACAGTAATGTAAGCTTTTTCTATCATGCATCTCAGAATTCTTCCAGCTTCTATCCATTCCCCATTCCAAAGCCACCTCCACATTTTTAGCTAGGTATTAGAGTAGCATCTTACTTCCCAGGACCAAAATCTGTACCTGTGGTTGCTATAATAAATTACCACAAACTCAGTGGCTTTAAACAACTGCAATTTATGCATCTATTGTTCTGGAGGCCAGAAAGCTGAAATCAATATTACTGGGTGAGAATCAAGGTGCTGGCAGAGCAATGCTTCTTCCAGAGGGGAGAAATCCATTCTTTCCCTCTTCCCGCTTTTGTAGGCTGCTGTAGTCCTTGGTTTGTGGCCATATCACTCCAATTTCTGCCTCGTCTGTCACACTGACTTCTATTCTGCCTATAGGTCAAATATCCATATCTCTGCTGCCCCCTCATAAGGATATATGTGATTGCATTTAGAGGCCACCTACATAATCCAGGGTAATCTCCCCAGGATTAATCACACCTGCAAAATCCCATGCTTGCCATATCAGGTAACATTCTCAGATTCCAGGAATTAGTACATGGATATCTTTTTGAGGAAGAACATCATTTAGGCTACTGCAGCGTGCTACCCTTCACTGATAAACTATTTTCAGACATTAGCAAGCAAGTGGGTGAACTGAGGGAGTCTAAGGATTATATGCCCACTCATTCATTCATTCATTCTCTCATTACCCCTTTGAAAAATATTTTGAGCAGCTATAT